TAAGACATTTCTCACAGCAGAAGTAAAACAATGCACATCAAGTTAAACGATAACCTGAAAGTCTTACTTCAAAATGAAGCTGCTCTAAAAACTTGATTCTGAAAGGTCAAAACTACATGTCAGCAGTAACTTAGTTTTAAGAACAATAGCAATGCAAGAGACGATCTGGTCAAACCCACCATATCAAATCAATCTACAGAAATGAGTGAACGTCTTTATTTTCTCCTCTCTGCCTGTGACACTGTGGCAAAAACATGAGCTGATATGAGAGAGAACTGTAGAAATCCCCTTCACCTAATCAAACAACATCTTTAATGGAAATGTCCAGATTGGTGTAAGGATTATGTTTTAACTTGACTGAAAATATATTTGTTTTATTGTTAGTTTGTTCCACTAAGTAGCTGGCAATGATGTGTGTCTTTGACGCGTTTCCAACCCTGGGAAATAGTTGTTAAACTGTCATGTCATGATCCTTAAAAAAGGTCGCTGTTGGGTATTTTATCAAACGCTGATTATTTTCTGAACCTGGCTGAAGAAATAGGAAAACTTGTTGTGGTGTGTCAGTGTGTTTTTAAAACAAAATGTCTTTTGGATAAAGCCAACGAGGTTTCATATTTTGACTTATTGTTACCCACGGGAAAACTTGAAATCAAGTATTTATGTTTGGATAACTAAAACTCTCCGGCGCTAATCAAAATGGCTTTTTTTTTTTTTTTTTTTTACAAAAATTTCAACTGCAATGCATTTAATATTCCAAGTTCATGAAGCACAAACAACAGAGAGCAGGTAAAATGTTTAAGTTCAAAGATTCAGAGTCACACAGATTGTTTGCACTGTTAAAGGTTGCAAATCAAACATTTTATCAGGGTTAAAATTCACAAGGATACATGCCAAATACTTCACATTTGTTTGTAAACAGGAATATTGTGATTATTTTTTTAGGTTCAATATTTCAGATCTTCAATTCTCGCAAAACAGCTCCATCAGTTTATGGTTTATTAAGTGTTATTCGAATCAGAATCCAAAATATGGGAGAAAAGGGTCAATTTTTCTTTCCTGGTATTCACATTAGCACATACTTACTTCTAACCTTCAGCCAGTTGCCCGACAGTATAATAATGAAGTGCAGATTTCCAGCTGGCTGCCAAAATATCAAATTCTTTATTCATATTTGTGCTACATTTTGGCATCAACAAAGTTAATTTAATTTTTGATCAGAGTTTGCTGTAGAAAAGGCAGAAAATCAAGGTTAGAATGTTAGAAATGTTAGAAAACTTTAGAGTATTTTATGTAATTTCTAAAATTGACCCTTCTCTGTCAAAATGCCATCTGTATCCTAATATCGCTCAGTACAAATTTAACTTTATCTATGTTAATCCAGTGATGAACTTATATACCTTTAACGGTTTAAAGGGCATTAATCACTGTGGGCAAAGACAAGGGTTATATTTTTAGAAGAGGAATAATAAAACATATGTTTGAGTGACACATGTCCGTGTTTTTGACAGACTAACAACAGCCCTCAGTTTCCTCACTGAGTCTGTTAATGACTTCTGTTTCCGGGATTTGTGCTAAGCTGATAAAACTCACTTTTCCTTTGCGGCTTCCCTGACCGGGACTTTAAAGTCCAGACATGACGCACACACACGATACTCTAAGAGTCTGACTTTCTTCAACAAACAGAAGTTTCTCTCTACAAAAATTGGCTTTAATTAATGAGAGATAGTTCCTGGTAATTGTCTGAAACTTCCTAACGATCTATTACCCACCCATGATCACAGCTAATGCTCTTAGCACATATTACTAACAGTAATCCTCATCTGGGAGATAAAGTCGTTGTGTCTAAACAAGTGAGTGGGGCTGCAGCGGTGACAGCAGGTGCTAAAGCCTCAGCTAACCCCAGCTAACACTGCCTGAGCCTGTTTAAGACAGGAAGTGCTGGGAGGGATGCTTACCTACTTACTGCATTACGCTCTTAGGCAAACACACACAAATGGTGATAGGGGGCATGAAACAAAGGCTGCTGAGCTGAATGGAGATGACTGTTGGGTTACATCTGCATGACAGTGTGGCACCACAGGAAGACGACAAGGCTTCCTCAGACCCCCTGGTGACTCTTAGCCCTCAGGCCTGTGTTTTTGCAGTGTATGTATGAGTGTGTGTGTGTGTGTGTGTGTGTGTGTGTGTGTGTGTGTGTGTGTGTGTGTGTGTGTGTTTGCTAAAGTAACATATTTAAAATTCTAAATACCTTTACTGTCAGGATTAACGCTGCATAAATTACTGGCATTAGCACCTGGTTAACATCCTCTATGAAAGACGCTTCATTTGCAGCCCTTAAGAGTGGGAAAGGCAGGTATCTTACTGTTAACCGCTTTGATGGCGAGTTTAAATGTGCGTTTTGGGAGATGACACATGCACATGTTTGTGACTGTGCATCCATGCGGAAAGAGTGTGATTGATATGAATCCGCAAATAAAAAGGACCTCGTTTGAGAACAATTTTACGATCTTTAATAAAATGTATTTCAGATTTTTTAAAGATTGTGTGCTTAACTACTTCCACAGAGTTTGTTCATATCCTGTTCAGCCTTTCTCAACAGATCCATGTTACACTTCTGAAGTTACATCTAGCTTATTGTTTTGCAGTTTTATAATATAACTCATAAGACTTGTGAGTTATATTGTATGAACTGTACAGAAAGAGTGATATTACTTGGTAGTAGGGCTGGGTGATAAACAGAAAATTTACAGATACCGAAATTTACAACAATAACCAACGTAAATTTGCCCATGTCAATATATTCGGAGTCAAAAAAGTAAATTAATAAAAGTTGGTTTTGGCTGTGTATTGGTAGGCTATGGTCTCATGTCCCTTTAAGACGCTGTCCTACGTCAGAGACGTGACTCCACCTCGTCCAGTCCATAACAAAGAGGGAAAGACAGGTGAGGAGACGGAGGACGGTTCAAAAGTTGTAACAGCTGGAGCGGCAGCTGAAGTAGCTTGTGGCGCAGTTATCGTCCATTTATCGTTATCGAGGTGAACTGCTCAATATACCGTGATATTGATATGAGGCCGTATCCCCCACCCCTACTTGGCAGGGTAACAAAACTATTTTTGAGTTGTAGGAAAACAAGTCACCGTAAATCGACTCCCTCAAAAAAATAAAAAAATAAAGACAAGCACACATAGTTCCTGTCTTTGCAATCCAACGACCAGGACAAAATTGTTCTCTGTGGATGAGCACAGGAGTCAAACATGCAGTCCTCTGTTGAGGTCAAATCGTTGCAAAAAATAAAAACAAAAAAGGAGAAGAGAGACTCCTGCCGTGTTTGTTTTCCTTTCACCGACCATGTAGGAAAAATGAGATGTGTTCACAAAATTAGCTGTTTCTTCTCAGGTCTTCACGATGAGGTTATCATTGGATTCTGATGCTGATTGACTGACATGTGACGGACAGGAGCCCCAGAGGTTGTTTCATGGTCCTGTGATCACCTGCCTTTTGGTAAAGAACCAGGAGGGGATTTTCTGACCTCCTTTTGTTGGATATCCGACGATTTCTTTGAGGTGAAACTATCAATCAACATATTGATTAGCTCTAATTAGGATCAATCCCACTGTGTTTAGCTCAGCAGGTGAAGTCTGCTGTGTGTGTTTGGGCAGTCATGCATGTATGCGGCTCTATATACGTGTGAGTGTGTGTTTGGCGTATACATTCTTGTGTGTATGTTTGTGGATATGTGTGATTGTGTGTGTGTGTGCGCGTGTGTGATAGTGTGTCTTTGTCTCAGCTGTCACCCTGAAGGTTATCTCCTTGGTGGCAGCATCGTCAGGTGACAGCCGTATCCCATGATGCCAGGCGAGATGTCAAACTGTCCTTCCAAAGGGGTTCCCTTGGCGACAGGAGTAAGACACAGACAGACACACACACACACACACAGACAGACAAAAACACACTAAACTCTTCTTGTGGTAGGTGAAAGGTATACATATGTGTGTGTGTGTATCCGTCTGCTTGAGTGTGTGTGTGTGTTGTACACCAGAAGGGCTGCTCAGACTTTGATAAGCTATCACATGTCCCAGGTGATGGTCTCTAACAGTACATCAGTCCAAAGGCACAGCCTGACAACTGAATCAAACACAACCAGACCGGACATCCTGGCAACTCAAACCAAACAAACCCAAACCGAGGATCTATGCTCTCCATACATTCACCTCAGACACACCAGCTAAAAATGGAAGCCTTTTATTTGTGACTGTTTACCCAAAAGAGAAACGCTCCTGATATGAGAGTTTATTTTGAGGGTGAAGACGTAGTCCTGTGTACCTCATGTGCCGGTGGGAGTCAGAGAACCACCTGTCGATCAAATGGTAGATTCAGAGCTTTGACATTTTAGCTTCAGGAGGAGCTTTTTACACTGATAATAGAGAATTTCATACCTGGTCTGCAAACTGCTGTCTAATCTTTTGTCGTGTTTTCAATATCGACAGATATGAACGTTTCAAGAGATATAATCATCGGCCAAAAAGGTGATGCATTATTGGCAATGGAGATGAAGACAGCTAACACATGTTGATAACAGATGGCGGACATATTTCTGAATGTATTTGAAATGAATACAATAATCATTTACAGAAGAGTGAAATGATGTTTATAGGGGTGTCCAGATACAACTTTTTGACTTCTGAGATGATACCGATATTGTAGCCTTCAATATTGACTGATACCGATATTGATACGAAATTAACACAAAATTGTGCATGATGGGTTTTTCACTCAGCTGCAATGTCTTCTTCGGACGTAAACAAAAAATACTTTTAGTTTTCAGCGATATGTCTACATTTGTATTTCTCTGAACGTACAGTGGTTCGTTTAACTTATTCCTCAACATCTTATGTATTTCAAGATCTACAAAATGTTTTGCTTGTTTTTTTTATTTTTATTTTGTTTGTTTTAGTGAATTTGTTATTTAAGCACAGTAATGGGAATATCCAGCAGTAGATGGGGTTTTGAGGGAAAGGGGGTGTTTGTGATGTGTTTCCTTTGTATAACCTGTACAAAACTAATAAAAATTTTGTTGAGAACAAAAAATACTGCCACAAGGCCGACATCACTCCTAATCCTTGCTACTTTGTTAGTACCTTAGTACACACTGTTGTTGTGATTTTGTGGGCTCTGCATGCTGGATCAGGGTGCTGCGAGCTAGAGGTGCGGTAGTGGAGTCTGGAATGGACTGCTTGTATTGGAAGGCTGATATTGAAGATTTTAGATGCAGGCCGATATAATCTGATATTCATTTTTTTGCTGATATCGGACCGATATCCAATATCAATATTGTACACCTAATTGTTTATGTGAAATTATATAGATCAAGATGTTTTGGTACAGAAAATAACAGACTTTCGCTTTAAATTTGCTTCATGCCTACAAAAATGTACAAATTGATTGGTAACCACCTCTCTTATCTTCAGTTAATCTCGGTTCAATAGTAACTTTAATGCTACATGATCGCGGGGGAATACAAAGTATGATTCAGACCTTGAACATACACACAGACAGCTTCATCCACAGACACAGATACACACTTCCTCAGCATGCCTTGTACAATTACAGAATTACAGCAACTTGGAAATGAGACATGACGGAGGAGGCATGCTAGCACTGCAGAGACACACACAGACATACACATATACACACAACTCTTCCATAATGAAGTGTTTCCTCTACATGTGATGTCAAAGACACAGGTTCCATTACCTAGCCTGTCACCACATCGCTGTCGTGATGGGCTGTCAGATACTGTTTGGTTGCTACGGTGAGTGACAATGCAATCCATGTGATTTAATCATGCAGGGCCTTCATTGACTTACATGTTGAAAATTATGCAGCAAAAAATGATAACTGAGTACAAAATAAACTCAAATAAGTGCCGCCGTTGTTCTTTACACTGTAAATAATAAAACTTTTAACCTTTAAACATCAGCTGTTTCTCCTCATCTTTTCCTGTGTGAAGTCTTTTTAGCTTTTTTTCAATAATCTGGGTACCCTGTATATGAATGGCAAAAATTTACTCTCAGTGTAGATTAAAAAGAGGAAATTCTAACTTGAGTTGAAGTTTACAAGGGTGTGTAAATGATGTAAAAGAAGAAAATAATGTATAACTATGGATAAAAAACACAAACGACCGTTATGAGGATGTTTATCACTTGGATTCTGATGAGTGTTTGTGGAAAAATGAGTGTGACACAGGACACTGATCACACACACACAGTATGGGGGGGGGGCTTCAGATAAAAGAGGAGGAGGAGTTTTGGTTCCATCTAGTTGATCCCTCCCACACTCATCTTTTCCTCCACCAGAGGGAGAAAATAAGGGTAATTGATTTCACTGTTTTCTCCTTGTGTTAGATCTGCTTCCATTTGTAATCATCAAATCCCTCCATCTGTTCCTCTCTCTTTCTCTGTCCATCCATCCCTCTCTCTCCCTCTCTCTCTTTCTTGCTGCTTGTTTGTTCTGCTAATTAACTTTATTACCCTGATAGCTCCCCACTGCCTCTGACGAAAACAATTAGGCTACCATCTCTTCTTCCCTCTTCACCTCTTATCCTCACTCCCTCTCTTGTCTCTCATCATCTTTGCCTCTTTTCCTCCTTTAGCAGAGAGCAGTCATTAGTCCTGATGCTTTATAACACTAACCGTCTTTCCCTCTCTCAGCAGCTAAGAGGCAATATGATGTTACTCTTTCTGAACAGGTAGGGCTGATAACAGACTGATTACCGGTGCTTACAACTTACATATTTTTTTACAATCCTCCCACGTTAAGTCATGTTTAATAAATTATGTTCAACTTTGACTCTTGTGAGAGTTTTCTTAACTTTACAATAGTAGTAATTGTGCACAATTTAGTAATTGGCCACTTCAGAACATCCCTCCTAAATAATAAAACAAAGAACACAGTCAAGACTTTGCTAAAATACACAAACTTCTTTTAACATGACCTTGTAATAAATAAAAAAATATGTATATTAATTAGCCAATTTGATTTGTCTTCTCTTAAAGATGGTGATCTGGAGCATTTTGCACCACTTTCTATGGCAATCAGTGATGAACATAACTATTTTGAAGATTGTTTTTAATGAAGGACGCTTTTTAAAGTTTATTTTTCTCTGGTTTGTCATCAACATTCATGTTTTTTTAAGAAACTATTAGCAACAACATTGAAATTTCTCTTAAAATAAGCTATTTAATGCCTGCAACTGCTGTCATCTGGCAAGTCTGAAATCAGATGACTAAGAGCAAACAGGAGGAACAGCCTTCAATGACATTTTCACAGAGAGTTATAAACAACACAGGACGGCAATTTCTGTCAGACAACACAACTTAAACATGACATGCATGACAAAGAATACAAAGCTGCATGCAATACAATGTCAGCCCCTCCTCTGCTTATCACAACAAATAGGGCTGGACGATAAACCGAAAATGTATCGATACTGAAATCTTCAACAATACCTGACATCATTTTGCCCATATATGTAAATTCAGTGTCAAAAAATAAATAAAAGTTGGTTTTGGATGTGTGTAGGTAGGCTATGGTCTCATGTCCCTTTACATCAGAGACTAACCCCTAACCCTAACCCTGACTCCACCCCATCCGGCCCATAACAAAGAGGGAAAGACAGGTGAGGAGATGGAGGAAGGTTCAAAAGTTGTAGCGGCTTAAGTAGACGAAGTTAATGTGGGAGGGGGTGAGTTATCGTCCATTTATCGTTATCGAAATGAACTGCTTAATATATCGTGATATTGATTTGAGGCCATATCGCCCAGCCCTAACAGCGATACACTGAGTCATAATGAACATTAATATAAAGTATAAACGAGATAAATATGTCACATTTACCTTTTTTTATTACATATTCTTTATGTGTCTTCTTAAATTTGGTAATAACTAAATTTTCCATCAGAGTTTTCATGAGGCTGAACCAGTAAAAACATCATTTGCATGCAAATAATAAGTTCCATGAAACCAAACTACTTTCTGTGCCCCTCGCTGTCTGATCCCTTTCTCTCTTTTTCATCTAACATGTCCTCTTCTCTCCCTCTCTTTTTCTGGCTCTCTCTCTCTCTTCAGTGGCAGAGAGGACAGCATTGCATTGTCAGTGGTAATTTACCTCTCATCTGTCTTCACTAATTATTGTCACATTTATCAGATACATCTCGCCAAGTGGGGTTCTGGCTGTGATAGCACCATTTGCTGTTAATACAGCATCAACTGCTATTAGGCCCAAGATGCTAAGGTGTGTGTGTGTGTGTGTGTGTGTGTGTGTCTATGCTGTGTATGTGTGTGTGTCACTGTGTGACAAGAGGGACAACGCTTATTCATCTCTAATTAGACCAAGCTGTGTGATTAATTATACAGTCCGCCTTTTTTTTTTACTCCAAGGGCTTAGGATGATGTTCATGGGAGGGAAAATAAATATAAAAGACGGGACAAGATGGAGGAAGAAACAGGACTGAGGGACGAGACAGAAGAGAAGAAGTTGAGGCTAAAAAAGGGGTTTGGGGTGAAGAAGGAGGAGGCAGAAACGAGAGGAAGAAGAGATGGTAGAATTCAGCAACACGGTGAGAGAGAGAGAGTGAGAGAGAGAGGAGTGTGGGAGCCATGCTGAGGTGAAGTGTTTTGTCATGTGCTCTCAGAGTAATTCCCACCTGACAAAGAGGCCTGGAATCAGGGGAAAAATTGCAACTTGTCAGCCAGCAAATAAACTGCCCTGATAACTGATTAATAACGCACACCTGGGACAGCTGCACGCACACACAAACACACACTCGCGGGCAGATGTGGACGCATGCTGGGACACACTTGTAAATACTGAAAGAGCAAATACATATCTGTACATATTTGGTATAATGTTAGACCAGCTACTGATGAGACACGACTGCACACACAAACAGATGCTTTACATAAATTCTGCAATATTTCAAAACAAAGCTGGTCACAGTTTAAATGGCATCACATCATTTTCTGTCAACAGTAGCATGTCAACTAATGCAAGTTTCAGAGCAAGGAAGTTTACCCTTCATCCAAAACAGATACAGCAACCCCTCCACCTATTAACTACTGACAATGTCTAAATGTCAGTAGTTAAATACCCTAAAATATTTACATGAACTTGACCTTTCAAACATCTCGTCTGTGTTGGAGGGCGTACTCACAGTTTGGTTTCAGTGAGGAGGGATCTGGGCATGTGCAAGAAAACGAGGGGTCTTCTGTAATGGGGATGGGCAATATGACCTCAAATCAATATCACAATATATTGAGCAGTTCACCTCAATAACGATATATGGATGATAAATACTCCACTGCGCCCCTGCCACAAAAAAGTTTAGCCTATGTAATGGGCTGGGGCAGTTTTTTGATAGTATGACTCCCCTGGACCTATTTATTGCCATTATTTTGACACTTTTAAGAACTAATGTTACAGACTGGATGGGGTAGAGTCACGTCTCTGGCATAGGACGTCTTAAAGGGACATGAAACCATAGCCTACCTACACACATCCAAAACCAACTTTTATTTATTTATTTTTGACACCGGATATACCGACATGGGCAAAATGACGTTGGTTATTACCATAAATTTCAGTATCGGTAAATTTTCTGTTTATCACCCAGCTCTACTTCCTGCGCTTTGATCATATAACATTTATGAGGCCATAAACTAGGAACAGATATGATTCACAGAGATGGTATTTTATAAGATTTTATTAAAATCGATTAGTGGGCCTTTACTTAAGTCAGCTGATTGCAGGCACAGCTTCTGATTGGTTAACAGAATAAAAGAAAGATAGCAGCCTTTATCTAGCATAGTCAGCTAACAATAGAAACGAAACTACTTCACTAAAAATTATATAATCAGTTTGCCTTTGTTTTTGAGGTAGTGGATCTGCACTGATCTTTTCAGGATAGAAAAATCCTTGATCGCAAGACAGCTGCTGGTCTTCCTCAAAGCAAGTGGCTTTTACGAGAAGTCGGTGTAAAGCAAAACTTTTGTGGCACAAGTCTATAGGAAATCTCTCTAGGAATAAATACAGTGTAAAGATGGCCTTGAAAAAAGTCAAACCTCTCCTAAAAGTTTTTCAGGTTATTTGACCTTCGCATCAACTTCCTACACGGATAAACAAAACAGAAAAAAAAAACAGTCCGTCAGAAGAATTGGCACCAAGAAATGTCTATGATGTGTCAGTATGGTAGGACATGGAAGCTGTGATACAGCAGCACCTGAGGAAAAAACATCTGACCATCCCATCCCAAGAGACAAAGAGGACAACAATGGGAGCGGGAGAGAATTCAATTACAGACGGATAGAGCTTCTGATAGACTGAGAGGATCAGCTCTGCTCCATCTTTTCAGTTTTCCCTCTCCTGAGATGATACACGGGCTTTCACACACACACACACACACACACACACACACACACACACACACACACACACACACACACACACACACACACACACACACACACGCCAGTCAATGACAGCACACACTGACCCACCCTGGAAAAGCCATTTCGAGTGACATCTGCTCTTAGTGTTTATTACACCCCTTCACCTCTCTTCCTCCCCTCCTGTATTTCTAAATGCTCACACGTTCCCGGCCTCTGATCCTCGCCGTGATTGGACAACAACAGCCAGACCAGGAAGAGGCCAGGCCAGGCCACACTGTATGCCCTTAAAACCTCACAACCTTCTCCACGAACACACACACACACACGCACAAAGATAGTGAGGCCATCTCCTCCAAACAAAACCTCTTCATCTGCAGCACAATGGAGGCTCTCCTGAAAGCCTATCATCTTCTCTGGAGCTGGGTTGAACGGTGAGTGAGAGTGAGGAGGAGGAGGAGGAGGAGGTGGCAGAGGGAGGAAGGGGACAGTGTTGAAAATTGGATCAGAGATGAGTGTTGTCGTTTGGAGTTTTATCAGCCGAGCCTGACGCCCCAAAAGGTCATCGGACATAATGGCTGATGAATTTAAAAAAAAACGCGCTGAGCAGGATTTTCATTTGCAATTTTCAATTTAGCCGGGCGGAGCCTCTCAAGGCAGCCCTCTCTGATAACCGTCTCCAGACTGTCAGCACTATCGCACTGCCTGTCACAAACATCAAGCAGCTGTTGCAACCAGAGGGCGACTTATAGAGAGGGATACAGGCAGGGAGAGAGAGAAAGACAGAGACAGACAGGGTGGACGGGAAAGACAGACAGCCAAAGCTGAGATAAAGTGAGACATAACAATAGATGAAAAATAAAAAGACAGAGAGATACACACGGTCAGAGGTCAAGCCATCAGAAGCAACAAGAGAATTTCAGTCACTGATATCTCACCCTCACAGATCCTCCTTGTAGACACCTCTGTTAAATGCATTGTTACACCACTTGGAAATGGCGATGATGTCGCTCACTGTTTTTAAGGTTTTTTCCATGCCACTACTGAGAGAGTAGAAACAGACTGAATTCTGTATTTAAATCTTGTATTTAAAGATTATATTTAAAATTTTACACCTCCACAATTTAGCAAATTAATGTTCAGCTTAAGTTAACGTTCATTAGTTTTTACTTGTGGATCTCAAAAAGGTTTATGTAGGTTGAGATCCAGCCACTAACCGTGCAAAAGAAGTGATATGACCTCTGATTTCAGATTACAAAAGTGAATTTAGAGCAGAAACGCCTTGATTTTGCATTTTCTTTAACGGCCAACAGGGGGCTACTCAACAAGCTGTAAGTGTACCGTATTTCCCGGACTATAGGGTGCACTTAAAATCCATAGATTTCCTCAAAAATTGACAGTGCACCTTATTATCCAGCACGCCTTATGTATGATTACTTGTTGTGCTCACTGACAGTTTTTATGTGGCACAATGCCCTCAAAAATCTATCAAAATGTGTAAGTATGACTTATGTAAGCAACGAAGCTGCTCCGCTCAATGGATATTTGGAGCATTACGGTATGCTGTGTCACTACCTGATTGGCCCTGTAACAGAACCCCTGAGCAGTCTACAAGACTGCCTGACTGTAATGTGTGAACATAGACATGTTAATTCCCAATGCGTCGTATAATCCGGTGTGCCTTATCGCCCGAAAAACACGTTAAGTGTTCCATTGCCAGTAGTTTTAAATCTTCTTCAATACAGAATGATGTTAAACTCATGAATAATGGTTCCACCCAGCTGATAAACCAAAGTTTGCTTTGGGGCATGGCGACGTGATCACTAAAAACGGTGTAAACCAGGATAAACCAGCAAAGAGAGGAAACAATATGCACCCACCCAATCATCCAAACAAACATCTCTGGTTCCCCAACACAAACTGGCAACAGTAGAAAACCCAGACTCCAGCTCAACTGGGACCACTTCATCAAAGATCATTTAGTGTTAGCATAAAGGAGATCATACTTGGATGTCTGACTCTGGTCTGAGAGCTCCTCGCCCTTCCACATGTGTACATCGACATCTAAAGCCCAAGACAGCACAGGATGAGAAGAGTACACTTTGTACTTCAGTGGTGCTGTCTGTGTGTAAAAACCTTGACTTGGTAAACTCCTCGTGTTTTTGTCACTTATTTATCAATTTAAAATGAAACAAACAAAAAAAAGATAACAATTGGTTGGCTAAAGAGTAATGGAGCTCTTCGGAATATCTAAAAATGCGACTAAGTTTTTAATTGTAAGTTATTTCTTGTTTTCTTACTAATGACAAACTTTGATGGTTAACTCATTCCTTAGATAGTTTACTTAATAAGCTTTTACATGTGTTTGTAATGATAATGATGGTGGTGTATTACTGAGCCATACTTGAGCCTTCAAGTGAGTGACAGAGTTTACAATTTTCACTCTGGCTGTGTCGTACATTATTAGGCCCTATTGTGTTTTAATTACACACAGCTAACCACTTATATATAGAACAGGACTGAAAACAAAACCACTGCTGTTAATAGCTGACGCTCCGTGTTTACATTCTTCCATTCACTCTGTGGGCTTTGATTGATCACAACTTAAATCTGGAGGAAATTGCAGAGGCTTTATTTATATACTGTGATATTTGCTTTAGTGTTTACCACTTAGCAATTTCAAGACACAGGTGAAACAAATACAGCTTGTGCTGCCTTATTCCTCTTCATGAAGTCTATGATGCAAGGCTTCAGAGCTTTATTTTGATTTCCTGAATATAAAATACTGGTGCTATTTCTATAAGGAACAGTGTAGAGTTTGGTGTGTACATAGATATGGATTTGAATTGTATGATATTTAATAATTTATTAAATAACTTTTTACCTATGGGTATTCAGATGGCCATTTTTTTTTAATTACGAATGCATATTTTTATGATTTAAATTCTTCATATCAGAGGGTGATTTGATGTTTTTGGTTTACTTCAAATATAGGAAGTAGGGGTGGGAGAAAAAAATTGATTGATTGATAAGTATTGCAATTTTTTTGTTTTACAATTTGTAAATAGATTTTTTTGTTCAAAAATCGATTTTTGTTTTCAAATTTAAGAATAAATCTTAAAAACTGACTTAAATGTGATGTGTATTTTGGAGGGAAATATGGTTCCTGGAATAGTCAGTAGACAATCACTTACATTCAACTGTTCCACTGGTGTTAAAAATGCAGACTAAAAATCGAGAAAGTAGACAATATCGTAGAATCGCAATTTAAATCGAATCGGCATCCAAAACTCGTAGAAGAATCGAATCGGGAGAAAAGCATATCGTCCCAGCCCATATAGGAAGAAAAGACTAGTGAAAATGAGCAGTGGCAGCCACTAAAGACTGAGAGAAACAAAAAGTTCTTGTGAAAAAATTTGAGAAAAAATACAGATTTTTGTTTGATTGTGTAAGTGTTTTGTTGAAAATTTTGGCAATGGTCAATCAGAAAACATTAAGTTCAAGACAGCAACTTATGTCTTTAATTTCTCTTGTATTTAAGCAGATACCTGTAGGTTTTACTTCTTGTGTGCGTTCATTATGCTATGGCAGAGGCAATGATCTGCCCAGACACTAAGTTTATCTCCTACACAAGATAAAAATGATGTCTCTTCGTCAAACTTGCTGTGCAGAGAACATGAGGCCAGGAGCCAAGGTTTTTCCACAGCCTCACAGAGCTGCTCCCCATCACTGTCTATTCATCCCTCTGCATCCCACCTGACAGACAGAGACACACACAGAGACCAGCGGAGAGAAAAAGAGAGAGAGAAAGAAAAGCTTTTGGCAGCTAATCTGGGCCTTGCTGGGTCTAGTTGAACAGCTGTGTCTAATAAAGTGTCTCGCCTAAAAATAAAAAATAAAGATGGAGTACTTCACGACAATCCAGCGCAAGAGAGAAAGGCAGCGGAGAAGAAGGGGTTGAATGTTGGAGAGATTTGGTTGAAAAGCTTAAATGACAGAGGCCAATTTCTCCTAAACAGAAGGGAAAAGGTACAATGAGTCTACTGATTGGCGGATACTCAGGTTTAAAAGATGACTGATTGGCTTGAAGAGGATCCTCCTGTGTCTGTTTAGATCGATAGCTAGTGGAGGGTCCCTCAGTCCTGCATGTAGCCTGTATCAGAACGGCAGGATTTAGTAGTTAAAGATGGAAAAGAATAATGATCCATTTTTGTTACAGTTTCAAACAGAATAAAGTTAGCTACAATTTTTTTTCTTTTTTAAAAAATATCATACTGTTAAAGATATAAACTAAATCTAAGTTACTTCAAAGGGGTACAAATCAAACTTTGCTAAAACTACAAAACAAAAAGAAAGTAATCTCTCAATATGTAATCTTTGGATTAGGGAGAGTGTGGTTAAGCTTTCATGATCGTAGGCCTGCAATGTTGGTCATCAAATTGTGTCTAATGCATAGTGGATAGGGTGACCATATTGTGAATCCCCAAAAAGAAGACATGACTACACAAGGGCAGAGTCACAGAGTCGGGCGTTCTAATTTTGAGTTTTTCAGGTTAGACCAAGTGTATTTTACATGCTTCTAACTCATTAAGTCCATGTGACACAAACTCAAAACTTCTATACAAAACCCCGAACATTTGAAGGATCTTATAAACTCCGATGGACAAGGCCGGACAGCCCTCAAAAAAGAGGACATGTCTAGGTAAAAGAAGACATATTGTCACCCTAATAGTGCAGCCATCTGCCAGAGCTGGAACTCAAGTACTACTGTCATAATACTACATATCAGGCCGAGTACCTGGATGGAAACAAGATTACAGATGGCATCCTCGAAGTGCAAATACAGTTTGGCAGAAATTTAATCTGGACAGTGAAGCTAAAACTTTATGAAGACTTTGTCTGGTTATTCTGACATATAACCACTTGACTGGGGATCTATGTTTATTCATTAGTTTGTTTGGAACCCCATTAGCTTCCACAAAGTGGTTCCTAGTCATCCTTGGGTCCAAAAACTTAAAATCACAATACAATTCCATTTTAACAATTAATTAATAATACAATTATAGATTCAATTCACAACATTAAAATCACTCCAAAATCTATGTTTTTTTTAGTTTTTTTAGTTTTGTTTCAAAGTTCTTTGAAAATAATAACTACTGCTTATTTGCTGTGTGCTCCTAGGCAATTGATTCTACATTTCTAAAGACCTAAATAACACTGATCTCCTCATACATATTGGACTTTGAGAATGGAACAATTAAATGACCAGTGCTACCCTGCCCAGTGACATGTTGATGGCAATAGCCACTGTACACCAATTTGTCCACAAAGAAAGTTGGATACCCTTTGAATATGGCAGTATCTATGGAACCAGCACAGGTATGTAAATGTTAACCTAAGGCTGGTGGTGCTAGCTCTGCTAATGTTATCCACACTCGGCATACCAATGTGACAGCATTTAACCCTCGAGCTCTGGGATCTTGTGTTAAGCTTTGTCATAGAACTGCGGAAAATTTCTGATTTCTTTTTCTGACCTTTAAACGAGTTGCTAAGTCAGAATTTAAATAACAAGCAAATTAGTTGCTTTTAAACGTTCACAGTTTTTATATTGCCATAGCATCTAAAACCACATGGATTAGTGTGTATGTGATAAATTGTGAATTTAGTTAAAGTCAGCAGGAAAATAGCTCACTTGGCTTCATTCTAATTCTTGCCTGTGTTGCTCATACTGGGTCTGCTTGTGATAAAATGTTTTTAAAGTCCGACATATACTTAAAAAAATTAAAAAAGAAAGATTAAAACCACATAAATAACCAAAAAAGCAAGCTCAAATCCTGCAGAGACTGATATCTGAGAAAGATTTCAGCAAGGGAGCACCGCCGGATTTAAGCACACCTCAGAAAAAGTGTTTCAACTGTCTCAGGTGGATATTTTGATGAAAATCCTGGAGCTGTGTGAAAAAAAGAGCTGTTTCATTTTAGGGCTGGACTAGGAGAGAAAAACAGCAGGATGGCCTTGAGAATATGGATCCTCGCTTCCCAACACCTTTGTTTGTCTCCGAGTGCCACAAGAGAGCCCAGCATGTGTATCTGTGAATTTGTGTATGAAGGCGTGTGTGCGTGCATGTGTGTGTAGTTGGAGGGTGAGGGGTGAGGGATGGGGGGGTGCTGGGCTGTGTGACAGAGTCTCTCTCTGCATTAATTGCTTAAATTGAAGCGCTGCCACGTCTCTGTGAGAGACGCTTTGATATGATAATGGCAGCCTTCTCAGCACAGGAGAGGCCTGCTTTGTGTATGTGTGTGTATGTGTGTGTACGTGTGTGGATGATAATTTGGTGGCATGCACCTGCCAGCACACCACTGTCTCCTGTCGCCACCAACACGGCCAGGAAGACAGGCAGAGACAGACAAACAGACTGGGAGAGAGGAGCTCGGGCATGTTGATCAGGTTTGATTTGGAAGAAGATGTAATCAAAGCATGTGTTGTGGATGTTTTCTATGCAAACTCCTTCCAAGAGGTTCTGTTTTCGATTTACCATTTTGCTGTTATATTATCTAAACACCAAACCATGGCTACTGTGTAAGAAGTGGACGTAGCCATTGCTGTAGTATGCGTTTGTTGGTAGACTCTACTTTTGAAGCCTTGTGGCGATAATCCATGTGATTGCCATCTTGTTTTTCGGTGCTGAAAGGGACCGTATTAAGTGGTTTCCACAAGCACCAGCTGTCAGCCAAGCAGCTGACTACTCACTCAAGTACAGCCAGCTACTTTTCTATCCTTGATTTCAACAAAACATTTTGAATAACAAGATATTTGAATAATGAGGTTATTTCCTTTTATATTTAAGAAGCCCTTTGCTTCTGCTTTGTAGCTTTTCTGTTGAAATCAAGCCCATTCGGTGAAACGTCGGTCCAATTCTGTAACCTTTGGACTTCCTGAGGTGGTCTTTACCAGACAAACTTATTTTGACAAGCTAGAACTGGAACTGACAGGAGGTCGCAATAAAGTATTTAGAAACTGAATAGCAAACTCTCTAAAGATGTGTTAATAATCACAGCAGGTATTTTGATAGAATAGTGTCAATAAAATTGCGAGAGGCCACCAAAATTTGGCTTTTATGGCTGTTCATGGTAAGACTTTGAGGCCTGTTCATCAAATAGTCACATCATCAAATAGGAGAGCAATTTGATACATACTTAAATCACCAAAATGTGTACTTTACATAAGTCTACATACATGCAGATTTAACTATTCAGGGCTATGATCTTAGAGCGCTCTAAATGTAAACAAATGTTCATATGTGGAAGTAGTGAGTCTGTGCAATAAAGTTTTAAAAGACGGCAGGGTAGCCACACCCTAAAGCATGAGCCTGTTATTCTAAATAGCAGCAAAATATACAAAATTAAAGTCATGCTGTATTTAAAGAGATATTCTGGTGTAAAATTAATTCAGGGTCAAACACACTGTAACACCTCGTTAGACACAACCTCAAAAGATTAATGTTGCCGACAGCTCGCTTCTCTAGTTATAACAACTTTAGTAACAACCGCACGATAGCAATACACAAAGCCACGTGATCAACCAAAAAGCCACTCTATAGCCACAAATAATGCTCAGAACAGCACCTAACTTCATCAACAGTACATATAGGGTCACAGCCACAGCGCTAGCCACCAAACATCTTTTTAATTTTGCCTAATTTCTTTAGCAAAGAGACTAAACACAACTCACCTACTCTCCTCCAGCAGCCGCTTGTTTGTACGAAGACCTCCGGGCGAGTCCATCGACTGCAGCGGGGTGACGCAGCTCAAGGAAGAACATTTATGATCATTTCTTTATCATTTCCTTGAAGTAATAATCATCATATCATTTTGCACTGCAGACGCGGTAGTTCTTCTGCCACTGCAGTCAATGGACTTGCCCGGGCTCCCCCAGACAAGCAACCGCTGGAAGAGAGTGGGTGAGTTGTGTTTAGTCTCTTTGCTAAAGAAATCTGGAGAAGTTAAAAAGATGTTGTGTGTTTGACCCTAAATTAATTTTACGCTGGAATATTCCTTTAAGAGGAATTAAAACTAGGGATTAGAATGTTGCTGGGATAACAAATCCATCAAGAAGAAGAGTTATCAGCAAACTAGTGGAGTCTGCTTTGACAGGTCATGCACCTCCACAAACCAAATCTAGATGCCCTTAACAGAGCAAAAATATCATTTTCAATATCAAGACAAAGTCAATCAAGAGGACACTTTGCATGTCTTTCACCATTCAGGACTTTTTTTTATGACTGCAAACCTGTTTCGAAGGTTTTCCAGCACCACAGATTTGCAAAGTACCTGAATGCTGAACCCTGTAACCCGTGCCTGCTTACAGGAAGTCAAAGGTTTCATTTTATCTCATCACAGATGGAGAAACTGTTAACCCAACTGAAGCACAGCTCTGACCCTCTAATAACTGTCCAAACTGTTGAAACCACACTGAAGTTTCATCTTTGCTCTTTACCCTCATGTAAAGTGTGCGTTTCTCTCCTTTTTATCACCTCTATCGCAGCCTCATCACTCTAAAATGGGACCACTTGGAGCTGCTTTGACTGAGGCCTCTGCTGCAGACACAACTTTTTAAAAGCAGTTCATTTAGTTTGGTCTAGGGATTGCCCATTATTTGATCAGAAAAAAAAAGACTGTCTCGCTTCATGTGAGTTCTGCAGACCCCTGGAAGAATAGTAGTAAGTGTGGGAAGACCTACTGGTAAAGTAGAAGAGTACGCTCCACTAAAGCAGGAGTAAGCTCCAGTAAGGCAGTTTATATCAGTTGTGTCAATGTAATGATAACAAACCGCTAAAGCTCTGTGTTTAAGTAGCTATAAATATTTGCTCCTGGAAAAATCTGTGTTTACATGAAAAAGCAACGCTCCTACTGTTTGCACTCAATCATACGGATATTTTTTATTTACAGCTTTTTTTAAAAATCTGCATTTAAATTTCCTTTTTCACATAACAGAGGGTTTTTCTTGGGTTTTGCAAGTACTGGCAATTTCTTCGTACAGAGTTTGAAACTTAAAAAAGTAATTATTCAATTAAAAACCTAATAATTTCTTTTTCTAATTTAAAGGAAGGTAAAAAAAATAAAAGGTTGTTTTGTAAATTTTGCCAAAACAATCTGCTGTTAAGGGTCGGTTTTGACCAGTGTCTCAAATCAGAGGGAAGTTACACTAAAAACAATTCTCTATCATTGAATTTGATTCTCATCTCAAGTTTACCTTGTTAGGCTTCATTATCCATGAAAATATTGCTTATGTTATTTTTTGTAGTGGGGCTCTGGGCCTTTCTTTGTCAGGATACCCCTCACACAGACATACTGAATTGATCTTACATGTCTGGACATGCCTGATGTTGTTTTTTTGTGCAGGAAAAAACATGGAAAAATGCACTTATGATTTCAGTTTTTGCTCTAATTATTAGATATTGATCTAACCGGGTCAACAGCGACCCTAACACCACAAGTGCCATAACTTTAATAAGAGCATTTCATAATTTAGTCAATTTATATTTTTTATTTTTATTTTGATGAAATTGAAGTTCCTGACAAAGTCAACAAGTCTTGATGCAAAAAAGCTAGTTTAAGTGGTTCTTTTAAGCATTTAAAATCAAAGACGGGTCGGTGCAGACCCTAACACAGGAGGAGGGTGAATAAATGTTACTTGAGCCTTTTATGATGATGATTAATTTTGGACACTGGCTCAGATGGGGGAATTATTACATTTATTTTTCTCATAGACATAGACTTTTTAAAAAAGATTTTAACACCTTAGAGTTGAACCTGACTTTTTTTCCTTCACCACAAGCTTCTACTTTTTATCTCGCTCCACCCTCGACTTTACTTTGTAATTCCTGCTACTGACCCAGTCCTTCCCCTACTAGTTAACTGCTGCCCTGCTCATCATGCGTCATGGTTACCAGGGCACCAATCAACCGTCAGTTCCGCTCATGATGTCACAGGTCAGCAGGACTGCCATTAAAACACAGAGACATCGCCATGGTTACTCTGAATGTCCTGCTGCCATGGTGGTGGTCGTGGTAGTTGTGGGAGAAGGTTTACTGGAAGTGAAGTGCGTGTGTGTGTGTGTATTAGATTCAATGGTGTCTGGGAGTTGAGTCAGCCATTACCCAGAAGCCACTGCAGCTCCAGGAGGAGAAAGGAAGCACTGTGTCCAAAAGTCTGACACATACACATGTACACACATAGAGAAGGGTCTGATCTCACACTCTCTCTCTCTCTCTGTCTCACACACACACACACCAACACACACACAAACAGACCTCCTGGTTGCTTGCTAAGCCAGCTGACCTTTACACAGGCCACCCACAGCTGACCCGTCCTCCAACATGTGATGGGGTGGGAGGCTGAAACTACTACACTGTCCCATGGCTTCCCCACATCAAACCACACATACACCAACTACTACACCCCTTATCACAGACACCTACAATATACCAGAAAAGACACCTGCTGAAGTAAGAGGTTATTGTTGAGGTTGTGATTTAGCTTCAGAAAAACAAAAGACTAAGCACAGTGCTTGAAACTGTGAGTACTGACTAGGGCTGTCCTGATACGATATTGACATCAGTCCGATATCACCCAAAAAAACAAATATCGAATTATAGCGACCTGCATCTAAAATCTCCGATATTAGCACTCCGATACAAGCAGTCCATTCCAGACTCCACTCCAGCACCTCTCGCTGACAGCACCCGGATCCAGCATGCAGAGCCCACGTGATCACAACAACAGTGTTTAGTAAGGTACAAAGTAGCAAAGAGTAGGATTGATGTCGGCCATGTGGCAGTATTTTTCCTTAAAGTCCGAAAAAGACGTTGCAGCTGAGTGCAAAACTTGTCATGTACAAGTTTGTGCCAATATATGTGTCAATATCAGCATCGGATGATACTGAAGCGTACAATATCAGTATCATATGAGAAGTTAAAAAGTTGTATGAGGTTTTAAGAGAATTTAAGACTTTTTAAGACTTTTTAAGACCCAGTAGAAACCCTGGTTACAGCTCCTGTGAGAAAATTCCAGTTCATTCTGATTCAAGAAACCCCTGTAGACAAACTGCAAGTCCTAATTCCTTTCTAACTTTGTCCTGTTTAAGTTGTGATAAATGCCAATACTCCAAGCTTTATTTTGATGGTCAAATGTACCAGCCATCTAGAATCATCGTAATATTAAATGAAAGACAACATGTTTCTGCAGCAAGCTATGAGACTGACCCCCAACAGCAGTTTCAGACTCTAAAGATAATCATGTATAAATAGTCAATTTTCATGGTGGGCCGCGGTCTTCATGTAGACCACAAACAGGCAACAGTACTAGCTCAAGTCTGCATCATAACCAGCCAGAAACTCCTCACATCTGCTTTAATAGCAACATTAATAACCCTGAGGTTCAAAAAATGTAATCAAGTAATTAAATAAAGTTAGTTATGATTGGTTGTTAAGGTAACGACTATCGCATCTTAAACCTCCTCTCCCACTTGGACCCCACTGTCATGTTGACCGGGTAATCTGAGTCATTGGAGTGGAGCTGAATGGTGGAGGTAATCAGAGAATTCAGGAATTCACCAAAGTGCTCTTGAGCCATGACACATTTACAGTCGAACACCAGACTGAGGAGGGAGAGAGTGTGAGTCAGGAAAAATGTGTTCACGCAAGACAATGGTGCTGACTGAACTGTCACAGACTATTAATAGATGCACGGTTGTGTCATGATGAGTTGGTCGGAACTACATATGTGTGTGAGTCTTCGCTGTGTGCGTTATGTTTGTGTGTGTTTGTGTGTGTGTGTGTGTGTGTGTTCGACTTCCCCCTGCTGCCAAAGGCCTCATTCCCATCCCTTGATGTGGAACAATGTGCTTCAGTTAGAGAGACAGACAGAGCTGCCTTAGAAACTTGGGACCCCTACAAACACCCACACACACTGGCCGAGATTCTGCCAGTAACAACACATACACTTACAAATACACACAAATACACAACTGTGAGTTTTAAATTAGCGTCATATCAATACCGCTCTCCGAACATTTATGAACATTAACCCTGTTTTTAAATTCAGCATCATACTGAGAGTTTTATTGAGTACAAACACACACACATCACCACACACACACACTTCTCACAAACAGGGCCCCGTCCTATGAATAATAAGTGTCCAACTATGCCAGAGGTCACATCCACGCTTCACTCCCCACAGCTTTCCCAACCGACCCCCTCATTAGGGAAATGTTTGTCCCAGTTGAGAAGGTGGGACGGGTGAGAACGACAAAAAAAAGAAAGGTTTGGGAGGGGTGGAGCAGTCGCTCCAGAAAGTGAGGACGTCTGAGAGTCCTAATTCAACGACTAATTACATTCAACGTCCTGTTTGCCAAATTTGTCACTTAAAGCTTTGACAAAAGGTTTGCAGAATTTCCTGAAGAATTCTCATGAAAATGCAGGTCCTCCTCTCTCCGGCGGTGCACTTTTATTGCAGTTATTAAGTTTTATTTCTCTGGTTGACTGTGTTTGCATTCTGTCATATT